GGGGTGGGCCTGGGGGGGACCCACCCTAGTCCCCAAGAGCCGGGCCTTCAAAGCTACCTTTGAAGGTAGTACAGGCCCTGAGCCCATTTTACAGATTTGGAAGGTCCTTAAGGAGGGCTGTGGAGAGGTGACTGGCCTACCTGGCAGCAGGAAAGAGCTTCCTACTTATAGCTGGGCCCTTGGCTGGAATGAGATGTAGGTGAAGGGGTTGGGAGCACGGCCTGCTAGGGAGGAGAAATTGGAACTACACTGGTGGGAAGGCAAGCAATAGGGAGTCACTGAGCACTCTAGAGAAGCGGGAGGAAGAGGCTCTGCCAGACCTGCCATAGAGAACCTGCCGGAGTGACTGAGAGCAGGAGCTGGCGCCCCAGGGGCTGCTAGCCCTGAAGACAGTATGTTCTACTGGCTTGGAGACCAGAGAGTCATTGCAGGGAAGGAGGGGAGCTTGAAGCCCAGGCAGCTATGTAGTGATTAGAGCCTCCCCGAGACACAGCTGGCACCCTGGTTTCCTGGAAGGGGCCCTGTCACAGGACAGAGTCACCATATGCTAATGGCTACTTGACAACTGTGGGCATGAGGCCAAAAGGGCCCCTGGGGAGGCCTTCAGGCAGCTCCTACAGTATTCCTGAAACCACACCCATCTTTGGAAGATTCTAGCAGCCCAGGGAAGATACTGGCCCAGCGCCCCCCCCCCCAACTCTGGCTGGCCTTGGAGCCCTCTCCTCAGGAGCTCCTGTGGCAACTATGTGCTGTACCACCCCCACAGACAGCAGTCACACCTACCTGCCACTGCATCTCCAACACTCTGTTCAGACACCTGGGGTGGGTGGGAGGCCTTCTTGGGAGGCTGTGATGCATGACCCCCATCCCAAACTGTGCTGTGCCCTGGGGGCACCAGCTAGAAATTTTCTGGCCAGATCTGGTAGAGTCCCTGCACAGATCTGGGCTGGTAGCCAATGAACGAGAGATCGGGCGCCATGGTGGCCATTACTTACTGCTCCCAGACACTAATGAGATTCTGCATACACTGTCTGGCTCCCACTGGGCCACTGCTGGAGGTCTACAGAAGCCAGCACCATTGCCCCTGTGTGTCTCCAGTCCTTTCACCTCTCCCCAGCTGGGCGTAGCTTCCCTCCCTCTCAGTGAGTCACTGAACTCCGATAACAACCAAGGAGTCTGTTAACACAGCTGCATCAGCA